CCCCGCCCATCTAGACACAAGTCTACTCTGGCGGCTAACAATAAAAATAGAATAAAAACAATATAATAAAATAAAACGCAACAGTAGTAATATGGTTCAAGATGGGGGGGGGATAAAAATAATCAAGTGATGACAGGAGGGAAAGCCTGCCTAAAGAGCCAGGTCTTAAGTTGGCTCTTAAAAACACCCAGCGAGGGAGCCAGACAGATCTTTGGGGGCAGACTGTCCCAAAGGCGAGGGGCCACTGCCGAGAAGGCCCGGTTTCTTGTTCTTTCTCGCAACAGTAGTAATATGGTTCAAGATGGGGGGGGGATAAAAATAATCAAGTGATGACAGGAGGGAAAGCCTGCCTAAAGAGCCAGGTCTTAAGTTGGCTCTTAAAAACACCCAGCGAGGGAGCCAGACAGATCTTTGGGGGCAGACTGTCCCAAAGGCGAGGGGCCACTGCCGAGAAGGCCCGGTTTCTTGTTCTTTCTCTCATGGCCTCCCTCAGCATTAGGCTCCTCAGCCACCCTTCCTGGTTAGAACGGTTGATTTATAGATTGTTCCCCAACAACAATACAACATCAGGGCTAGCAACTCCGTTGGTTCCTTTCTTGCAGCTCCCCTATAGCAGGATTCCAGAGATCACCAAGAGAAAAGGAAAAGTGACAAATCTGACTTAAACGAAAGGTCAGGTCTCAGAGCTTGAAGGATAAAGGAAGAGGACGCATCCAGTGAAACATCTCACAGCCTTCCTCAATGGCAGTATGATGGATCCTATTTTCAGGGTTCTCATGCAGTGACATCGGGAGATGGTTTGTCAGAGATCTGTGTCTTTGTTGTTCATAAAAGATGGAGGGATAGGGTGGGTTTTTAATATATATATATTTGTAATGTTTTTGTTTTTATTCATGGCCAAGGATGGTGTTGGTTAACTGAATAAAACGGTCATGGCTGGCAGAAGAGTTATGTGGAAGTAAGAAGTTACCAATCATGCAGATAACCTGTGACTGCTTAATGTTGGGTAACAGACAGTATACCAAGCCATTGTAATGCTATGTTTTAGGTGTTTTTAGTAAGCAGAGGACAGCATCTTATAACCAGAAACCACCAATGGCTTGAAACGAACTTGTGGGAAAGTGAAAGAAGGAAGTGCTGAAGCAGGACGGCCACTGAATGTTAAGAAGACCAAAATCATGGCAAGAGAAGAACTACACAAATTTTAACATTTGCAGTGAATGGACTGAAACAGTTAGAAATGTTTATTTACCTTGGTTCAATCATCAACCCAAATAGAGAGTGCGGCCAAGAAATCAAAAGAAGTCTAGAAAGGGCAGCAGGGAAGGAATTAGAAGAGGTCATCAAGATAAGGAGATGTCAGGATCTGGCCCATGATCGGGGTCAGTCCAACTTCTAGGCCCCTCATGAGGCTCACCTGCCTTAGAATGATAGAGAAGTGAAGTTGGAAAGGGGGCCTACGAGGTCATCAAGTCCAACCCCCTACTCAGGGCAGGAATCTGAATCAAAGCATGTCTGCCAGATGATGATCTAAGCGTTGCTGCTCCTGAGCTTCAGAGTTCCTGCGTCCCAGTATGCCTGCATCTGCTCCGCTTCCTGCCTTGGTCCCTGCTCTTGCCTCTGCTGACCTCCTGCCTCTTGGCGCCTTGTTCCGGCTCCGTTCTCCCAGCCCTGTGCTCCCGCTTCTGCTGAGTTGCGACCAACTGCACCGGGAGTGCCTTTGGATATGATCCTCTGCGTGGTGGATGGGGTCCAGGTGCTGAGGCTCCAATACTTTGGCCATCTCGTGAGAAGAAAAGACTCCTTGGAAAAAACCTTGATGTTAGGAAAGTGTGAAGGCAAGAGGAGAAGAGGACGACAGAGGACGAGATGGTTGGACAGTTTCACCGAAGTGACCAACATGAATTTGACACAACTCCAGGAGGCGGTGGAAGATCGGAGGGCCTGGCATGCTCTGGTCCATGGGGTCACGAAGAGTCGGACATGACTTAATGACTAAATAACAAAGCAAGAGAAGAGGAGTGTTGTTTGGATGTGAGGCAAGTTCTGATAAGCTCAGACCACAGACTGGACTTTAAGGCAGAGCAAATGCTTGTCTTCAAAATCTGGAAGGAAGTGGAACAGTCATCTGGGTGAATCCAGATGTTCACCAGCTGTATTGATTCAAGGGCTATTCAACAGGTGCATTAGAAGATTCAATTTCTTAAAAATCTTCAAGTTCACGAACATGGGAGATTTTGCTCAGTATCCATGATTCAGAAAGTGAGAAAAGGTTCCAGTACTGGTGTCTACACACCAACATGCAAAAGGATGCCATCAAGAACATAGCAAAGGGCAGCTGACAACACCAATACAAGGCTTAACATAGTAATCTGTCATTTTACTTATTATGTAATTTAACTGTTGATCACCTGCTATTCCCCACATTTCACAAGGTCACATTTACACTATTCCCAGTTTCATCTTAGAGAAATATTGACCAATTTGGTCTGAAAATAATATTATTTTCTAAACCACATGCCTTCACATTTATATTATTGACATATTTTAATAAAGGCTTCAAGCTTTTGGTGAATTTATGCCTTTTTCTCTCCTCTATATAATTTATTTTATTAGTCATTTTTTTCCCATCAGCATTGTGTACCATATCTTGTTCATAAACAAGTGCAATGAGAGATCTTGGGCATTTTTCCAATTTTTAGCAATCTCGGATCTTGCTGTTCCCTATAAGATTTGCTACTAATTCTTTATTTTCAAGTGTCTCATTCCCACGTGTAAATATTAAGAATAACAATAATGTTTCATTCATGTCTATTTTTTGATTAATCAGCGTCTCTAACCATCTAATTACTTCACACCAGAATGCTTCTATTTTGGGGGAAGAAATCCACATGTGTTCCAAAGTTCCTTTTTGTCCACAATTCCTCCAGCATTTATCTGATATATCTTTATTAATTCTGTGTAACTTTGTACGATATAAATGCCACTGATGCACTACCTTCAAAACCATTTCTTTCACATTTGCTGATATAGATTTATATGGGTATTTATCCCATATTCTTGTCCAGGTTTCCTCAGGTATATTAATATTTAAATTTGTTTCCCAAACTGTTTTAGCTCCTCCGCCTTTTCCATATTCTTTCTCAATAATACTTTTATATATTGGTGAGGTTAAGCCTCTCTTTTGATTTTTATCTTTTTGGATACAATATTGTTCAA